TTACGTTTTCTCGTCTCTGGCCTCAGGCATCAAAGCACTGACGAATTTCAGATTTCAGAACCATTCTTAATCATTCTACTCTATCTCTACGTGCTGGCTGCTTCAGTCGTTAGAGAGAAACAAAGGTAGCATCTTTCATTTCAAGATCATCTTTTTCTTCGTCTTCTGTTCCCTTTCCTCCTCAGGTTTCATCTTGGCTTTGGTATTTTCTGGGTTTCCCTTGATTGCTTGCTTGCTGTGGATGGTTTTCTGCTTGTTTTGGACTCAGGAGCTGGTGTTTTTATGTTGAATATCTTTAACGGTTGAATTTGGCTGCTCTTATTGACTTTAGATATTCAATTACTACAAGATAATGGGCTAAAACCTACTGAATTTGTAAGGTAAAAGGTGAAAAGTGTTATATTACAAGGTGAAGGATTAAAACTTATCAACTTATCTTACAAGGTAAGAGACTAAATGTTGATTTTTGCCAAGATAATGAGCAAGTCTTTCTTCTGGGATTTCAGCTGAAAAAGGGGTTTTGAATTTGGTTGCTTTTTTTTTTGCCAGAAGTAGATTGTTTATTGTCATGTCATAGTTATCTACTGTAGGGTATTTGAATCTCTGTGTTCCAATGATTTGGCATTTTCTTTTAAATGAATGTTACATATTTAAAGGTGCATGCTCAGCATCCAGTTTAATTCATGAACTGAGTATATTTTTCTTGAAAAAAAGAGAAGCAGTAAATGGATTACTGCACTAAATATCTATGACATTTTTTTTTTTAACAGATGATTTGTTTCTCTCATCTAATGCCTTAAATTCTTGGTAGCATGATTTTTCATCAGTTTTTATGTTTATTTTTTGGCTGGCGTTCATGGGCTGTATGAACCGACTGTTGGCCGTTAGTATTTACATTTAAAACGTTAAAATTGATTCCTTCTGTCAGCCGACAGGTAGAATATGTGCCATAAAGCTCAACAAAAATTTATTTCTATTTTTAGGGCTGGTCTGTCAGGATTTTCAGGATGTTTCTGATTTATTTCAGGATCTTCTTTTTGGGAATTGTTGGACTTGTTTGAGATTCAAAAATGCATTCCATTTTTCTTCTTGTGCTTCTCTTATACTTGCCATATTTTGTTATTTATTTATTTATTTATTGAGACTATTAACATGTTTGCATATTTATTTATTGAGACTATTAACATGTTTGCAGCCCACTTCTTTACATTGTAGCTTTGTAATGGATTCCACTACAACAAATTCACAATGCTGCCCGTTTTCAATTAAGTTATGGCCTCCTAGTGAAGGCAGTCGAAGGGTGCTTGTGGAACGGTTGAGAAACAAACTCACTACCAATTCCATCTTCACTCAGAAGTATGGTTGTCTTAGCAAAGAAGAGGCTGAAGAGAGCGCTCAACAGATTGAGGATTTAGCTTTTAACACTGCAAGCCAGCTCTATGATAGGGGGCCTGATGGTGATGGAGGTGCTGCAGTGCAGCTTTATGCCAAGGAATGTAGTAAACTTCTCTTGGAAGTTCTTAAAAGAGGACCTGCAGCAAAGAATGACAAGGTGTTGGCTTCTAAGAAAGAAACTAACATGACAGGAGATGAGGGAGCACTTGCCATTTCTGAGGTAGTGAAGCATTCTCCACTACTAGAGGATTTTCGATGCTCATCTACAAGGGTTGACTCAGGACGAATTGCCTTATCAAATGCACTTGAGACTTGTAGCCATTTGAAGAAGCTTGATCTCCGTGACAATGTGTTTGGTGCTGAAGCTGGAGTTGGACTTAGTAAATCACTTTTTAAGCATGCAAATCTTGTTGGGGTTTACTTGAGCTATCTCAACTTGGAAGATGAAGGTGCTACTGCTATAGCAAATGCTTTGAAGGAATCCGCTCCTTCACTTGAAGTTTTAGAGATGGCTGGAAATAATATCACAGGTGATGCTGCCCCTGCTTTAGCTGCTTGTATAGCTTCAAAGCAGCATCTTACCAAGCTGAATTTGTCTGAGAATGAGCTTAAGGGTGAAGGTGCCACCCAAATAGGTAAGGCTCTGGAAGGTCTAGCTCAGTTAAAAGAAGTTGATATGAGCAACAATTCAATGAGAAGGGCAGGTGCTCGTATGTTGGCTCAGGTAGTTATTGAAAAACCTGGGTTTAAGTTGTTGAACATTGATGGGAATATCATCTCTAATGAA